AATTTTTCTTCAAAAAGTTTTTTTTTCGAAAAAAAGTAAGTTTTTGCCAAAAATTCAAAGTTTCTCAAAAATCTAATTTTTTCAGAGTAAATTTTGTTTCAAAACTGTTAATCTTTTAAAAAAAATTGTTTTTGGTACGGGAAGTTCTAGCATTTTGCCTTAACTTTTTGATTTTCTAAATATTTTTGTAGTTTTGGATTAAAAATTCAAATCAAAAAATTTCCCAGGCTAAGCACAGTCTAAGCGCCACTCTGGTACAAATGTTTACCCAAGTGCGTTCAGACTGTTTATGTAATGGAGCAGTTTTCCAATTTTGTGAAAACTATTGAAAAATGTGAAAATGCCGCCAAGCTAAGCACAGTATAAGTGAAAATTTCGTACAGAATTATTTGCAAATGCGTTTAGACTGTGATTAAACGGGAGCACTTTTTCAATTTTGTGCAAATTAGGCAACTATTGTTTTTTTTTGGAATTGAATTCGAAATGAAATGACGATTGTTAATATTCTGGAGATAAATTGATTTTTGATTTACATTTGATTTGCTCGGATATAACAAGATAGCGAAAATAATGAAAGTTACATTATTTGTTATTAACGTTTAAAATTTCTCGAATATTTCATTACGGTACGGGAAGTTCCAGCAATTTGCTTCGAAGCACACGATGCCATACACCACTAGTGAAATTTCTTAGATTCATTTCCTCAATAAATCCAACCCCCCTAAATTTCACTTTCACCCTCCTATCACAAATTTCTATTCAAACCAGTTCCTTTTCATAAGACTCTAATTCTATTGTAGTGATGTATTTATTATTATTTGTTTTCCCAGAAACCGAAAATGGATTTGAGGACCAGGGTTTGTGTCTTCAGCACCTTTTTAGGGAGCTGCCTAAGTCTGGCCCTTTTGGTGTCATCCCTTTCGACCGACAAATGGGCCGAAGCTACGGCCACCAGGCCAACGCCGGTAATAAAATAATTACTCAAATGTAATCAAGTTGTAATATTAATATTTAATATATAATAAAGTAAAGATTTATTGGTCAATTCTGCAGTAACATAGACGTTGTTATGATAATGCTATGTTATGCTTGTTTATTTATAGTAAAACCAGGATCAGATGTATTACACATAAAACTGTATTTTATAAAAATCCAGTCATCATAACATTCTTTCTTGCTTTGTTAAATAGATAGACATTACCACAGTTTTTAGTACCAAGAAAGAAGGATAAGATAGCGTTGTCATAACAACGCTATGTTATTGTCTGTATTGGCCCATTAATGGCAATATTTTATGAATACATTGTATTATTTTTTCAGGAAATCCGAAGGTAGAATAAATCTCGGTTTATTCTTCGGCAAAAAAGAATTAAATGTCGCCTACGGTTGGAGGACAGATTATATCCATGGTAAGTGTAAATAAATAAATAAATGTCTTTAAAAATAAATACTTTCATACAAAATTTAATTTTGAATTTGAACATTTGAAAGTTTTAGAGATAATTATTAGAATATTTCTATTACTAAAAATAATTTCAACAAAATGAATCGACACTGTAGGTGTAGGTCAAATTCATTTTTTTTTCATTCCTCTTAAGATATAAATTTGGTTTTTCCATCTTTAGAGTCCACATCTCTGATCTGTACAGAGACATACTCCATTTCTATCAGGTCTCACTTTTTATCATCTAGGTTGCTATTTAATTTGCTCGTTAGTAGGATTTGTTTTTTCAAAATCAGCTTTAAAATGAGTATTTCTGCATGTAAAATGAGTGAGCTATCGTGCAAATGAAAGACACATACATTTTTTTTTGCATTTAAAGCAAATTTTCAAGTTTATGAGTGCCATTTCCACCAAAATTGAAAATAATCGTTTTCCATCTAGAATTAACTTGGTTTAAAAGATCTTGATGGATTCTAGAAAATACCACAACTTTAGTACCAACGATTTTCAAAAAACTCATGATTTCATGAAAAAAAAAACATTAAAAAAAACAACCAATTTCTCATTATAATATCTCTGAAAGAATACGTATAAAAGTATATAAATATAAAAATTTGAGGTCTTTTTCTGACTAATTGTTGTTGTATATTATTTTTCCTATACACAAATATTGATAGAGTTATAATTGTTTATAACAGAGTGTCTTTCGTACCCTTCAATCCTTTTCCATTTCAAAATAAGAGAAGTTACGGTAAAATTCATGATAAAGAAAGTTTTAGCTCATTAAATCACCTTTAAAATAGCATATTACAAGTTTTGATAAAATCAGAATTAAAAGAGTTACAATCCAATTAATGCGGGGGTGGTGACAAAGTGCAAATTGTTTTCACTTCTGAACTTAAGATTAAAATTAGCAAATCTCCAAAATATCAAGAAAATTGTAAAAAATTCATGCTATTTTCCTCTCCATTCACTGCAATAATTTTGCTGATCGTAGGTTGAATAGAGCACATGTGAACAGGATTTGACAAATTAATTCACTTCAAATATAAACTTAAGCAATAATGTATATTGATTTATTGGAGAAAAAAATGTAATTTAGATATTAAAATTACTAAAATCCAGTTAAAATATGGTACGAAATTATAAAAACTGTAGGCAACATTATTGAAGCAATTATTTTGGGTAGAAAAATGCTATATATTAATCCTTTCTGAATTTGTTATACCTTTTAAAAGACTACAATTTACAATATGTATATATTATGCTATAAATCACAAAGGCAGACGATGATTTTTTGTGTGATAAATTTGGAAAATCAATGTTTTAGTCGTGAATAAACAAAAAAATCATTCATATATACATCCACATCTACAGGTATGACTGAAAAATTGTATAACCCTTGGCATTAAATAAATTGAGCTATTGGAAATAAATGTGTTCTATTAATTGCAGTGTATAAATTTTAATATACAATTTTATTGAACATATTTTAATATTTGTCAAAGGGATAATTAAAGTGTTAACTGTGGGAATTGAAAATCATCATTTTATTTAAAGCAGTACTACATTTAACATCACTCATATATTGGTGTAAATAGTAATTCGAAAAACAATAACTATTATTTTTAATTGAAGGGTAAACATTAGTATTGGATATTAAAAAAATGTAAACGCGGGAACAGGACGTTTGCCGGGTCGTCTAGTATATATATATATATATATATATATATATTTATATATATATATATATATATATATATATATAATAATAGTAATATCTATTTCCTGAACAGTTACGAGTGTTTTATGGAGCGTAAAGATTTCGTTTCGTTTCGTTCGTGCAATTGTTGTTAATCTGCGTTAAATAATCTCTCGCCTCAGTTCTGTTTTAATTATAATTATAATCTGTTTCTAATTAATTCGAAAATTCATCGCGAATCCGTTACGTTTTCGCATATATGTATAACACATTTTGTTGTTACTATTGCAATTAGAATTAGAAGAAAATCATACACGAGGGGAAATAAATAGGAGAAATAAATTTATTATCGGTAAAAGTTGTAGAACCCTAATGTTTTTTATTTATTATCCTTACAAAAACCCTTATTTTCCCAGACATTTTTATAAATGACTAGCACACCCGACGAACTCCGTTTCGCCACCAGATGGTTTCGTGAGAAAGATGAAGAAATTTTTTGTTTGTTTTATATTTGAAAAGGAAAAATTTGATTTTATTATACAACAGTAATGATTTTATTTCGATTACAAAAATGAAGTGTTTTCTAGTTGAACTTCTCTAAGTAAATGAAAGTGAATCCGCAAATTATCCTTTTCATTGAAGTGCTCTTTAGTGAACCATATTTTTTGTTTTTTGGTCCGACGTTAACACAAACAAAGCGGATGGTTTTTCAACTCGTTAACAGGCAACGTATAACTGCCCATGTTAAAAAAACAATGATTTTCTAAATAATCTATTTGAAATTTATCCCGCAAACACTAAGGCAAGGCGAACTGAAAATTGCAATCGTTTGAAGTCAAACGGAAGATCAGTCGGAATCATTGGTATGTAACCAAATCGCCAGCAATTTTTGATTGAATGGTGAAATTCAGTGCGTGTACATCATTGTTCTTTGCGGCAAGAATTGCTCGTTGACTTAACCCAGCATAATTCTGATAATTTGCACTAATGTCATTACTCGAATTTTTAATTACGGTGTGTGAAGTTCTAGCTTGCGGAGCCCGAGACCTTTCCAACGAATGCAAAATTGTCGAAATCGGTTCCGCGTTCTGGAGTTATATCGTCAGGAAGGAAAGTCCGACTTATTTTTATATATATAGAAGATAAATTATGATTTTTTCAAGTAAGCTAATAAATAGTTCTTAAAGCATTTCCTCAATATTCACTAATCTATCTCAATTCTTATTGACCAACTGATTTATTTTAAATGTCATTTACACCTAGTTCCTTTACTTTTTTAGTAATTCGAACAATGAGGATGGACCACGAATTCCTGATTTACTGGTACTGGTTGTCCTGTGTCAGCGGTTTGGCCCTTGGTATATTTTTTGCAGCTGCATCAGGAATTTGTGCAGTCGTCATCAGTGCAGGAGAAGGGCCAAGAGGCTGAGGAGCCTTTATGTCACCAACGGAATCACCGTAAATAATATATATATATATATATATATATATATTAACAAAGTCTAATAATCGGGCATAACGGCAATAAAAAACATGAATTTCTTTCAAAAATTTATTTTAAATCCATACGTTTCGGCTATAATCCCAGCCTTCATTCAGTGGAAACTAAAATAAAATTAAAAACTAAAACAATTGAATTGGAGTGAAAAGAATTAATAAAATAGTAAATAGTACTTACAATTAGTTAATCTTAGTGTTAAATTGGAAGATTTTGATAAACCATGGTATCAGGATATGGTAATGCACTACACTATGTATTATAAACATTAAACTTGTAATTACACGATATTTTCACAAAATACTAATTTAAAAAATCACAATTGGATAGTGTGTTGTTCGTAGACTGGTTGAAGATATAATGGAAAAAGGACTTTTTAAAAAATATCTTTCACCAAGATTCTACACATGTGTGAAACGAATTGCGAGTCCTTTGCGCGTCGTTTCTATTGTTTTGTTAGAAATTTGGAAATGTTATCTAAATAAAAGAGATTTGTGTCGCACAGCGTGTTAAGTTCATTCCGTTTATTTATTATTTCATTGCTGTAAATAGTTAAAAAAGATCCTTCTATAATTCTTCGTTTGAATAAATTTTGTTCGAATTGTAGTACAGTCGGGTTAGAAAAGTCCATATTGTGTTTTAAAGTATAAATATGCTCCGCAATCATAGTTTTAAATTGTCTTGGATTTTTTTAATTGTTTTTATGCTGTTGTAAACGTTTCATTAAGTTTTGGCTTGTTTCTCCTATGTAAATTAAATTACAATCTAGACAATTAATTTGATAGACGAGATTTGTAAGTCGTTCGATATTAAAAGGGGTTTTTGTTTTGGTAGAAATAGTACTAGTCGTTGTACTAAAATTGTTTACAAGTCGGATTTATAAAAAAGTTTTTTCTAAGGAATATACAATTCTTTAATGTATGGCAAGCATATTACACCAGAAAGAGTTTCTGAGTCAGGTAAATCGTTTTGTACTGTAGAATTGTCCATTTTGTTCAAAAGGTATTGGTTAAAGGTCTGTTACTGGTTACGAAGTTTATAAGTTTTAAGGGATAGGAGTTATCTGTTAGAATATTCATAATTAAATTGATGTTGTTGTGCCAAAATGTTTTGTCCGATAATATTTTTTAATCCGATATAGTTTTAATATTTAGGTCCGATAATATTTAAATATTTTTCAAAATGTCCTTTCTCCATTATATCTTCAACCAGTCTACGAACAACACACGATTTTTTAAATTAGTATTTTGTGAAAATATCGTGTAATTACAAGTTTAATGTTTATAATACATAGTGCAGTACATTACCATATCTTGATACCATGGATTATTAAAATCTTCCAATTTAACACTAAGATTAACTAATTTTTCCACTGAATGAAGGCTAGGATTATAGCCGAAACGTATGAATTTAAAATAAATTTTTGAAAGAAATTCATGTTTTTTATTGATGTTATGCCCGATTATTAGACTTTGTTAATACATATGTCAACATCAAATTCAGAATCATATATATATATATATATATATAAATATATGTGTGTGTATATGTATATATAGTCAGTCTAATCCACCACTGCTAATCTTCATGGAAATTTTTATCTCTAAAACAGCAGTAGAAAATTGTAGAGAAACGATAATGTCCACCAGAAGTTGGAAGTTATGATCAGGACACATTTGAAAAGTCCATGTATATTAATAAATAAAATGGGCAGTACTGCCCTAGGGCAGATCCGAACTTTAACTCAATTCGATGAAGAATAGTGTGAGAGGTTTCCCATTTCCATTTCACACTTTTTTAGTGCCCTCGATTCGGCTATTTTCCATAGAAAACATATTATTCAAGTGAAAATGAGTTTAGAGTTGTAAATTCGTGTAGGGCACGATTTATAGCGACTATTTTCTGCATTCGTTTCGATTGATCAATTTATCTGTGTTTCACAATGTTTGTCCCGAATTGCATATTTGTCCTAAACTTCTGAACCGATTTTAAATTCAATTTGCTCATCGTGTCCATATGAAATCGACTTGGTTCCAAAGTAATCAGTTTTAACGTTTCAATGTCGTTGATGATTATTAAGAATAAGAAATTTACCTCAGCAAAGCGTGGCCGGAATTGCTGGTTTTTGATTATATTAAAGAAATAATTATTATAAATCTTTTTTTTTCAGTTCTTGGCCAGTGCATATCAATTGGAAGTTGGCTTGCACAATTCTTCTTGTGTCTGAGGTACAACATGTTAACACAAGACGATAAGAAAAATGCTTGGACGAGCGATGGACAAGCCCAACTTGGCAGCTCTTTTTGGTAAGACAGAAAATCTAAGGGTTCAATTTTCGGATAAAATAGAAACGTTATGGAGGTGACGAACTGTCAACAAACTATGTATTTGCCGTGCGATCAGACATGAAATCTAACCTTCCAAATGCATAAATGCCAAATATCAATTTTATCGTAAGTGGAACTTTCTGATGGCACATATGTGATGTTGAATATCCCACACAAAAATTAAAAAAAAAATGGCCATGCGATCTTAAATAAAACGTCAAACAATAAAAAATAAGAGTGATATCTCAAAGGAGATAATCTCTTAAATGCATTTCGACAGTCAGTTATTACCAATTCATACAAAGATAGACCCGTAACATAGCATTACCATAACATACCCATTCTATTTGAGAACTGGCATCATAGCATAATAATAAACAAAAACAGTCATACTAACGTAATTCAATGAAATGATATTCATGGCAATTTATAAAATTTATCTGTGTCAAAAATCAATTTTTTCCGAAAAAGAATGTAGATATACTTACTTATAAATTTAGCCTGTGAAAAAGCCTTCGATACAATGAATAATTTAAATTTACTAGTCTTATTAGTTATTACTAGTTTTATTAGTAATTTTTTTCCAAATATATAACATATGTCTCGATGAGAAGAGTTCTTTTTTTAAAACCTTTTTTTTCATTTATTTTATTTTAATTTAATATTTATTTTAATTTAATAGTTTTTTAAAAGTCGTGCTTTGTAACTTCGATAGTAATTAGTGCATTATATTTTCCATGTTTTTTGTTTTTTCTTCAAATTGTTTGTATGCACTGAAGATGGATCAAATCAGGACTCGAAACGTTTGACAATTAAACATTTTCCTTCAATAAAATAGTTTTAATTAATGGATGGACGTCCTAAAACAACTTTATTATATATAGTACTTGCTAAAAGAATCTTACACCTAAAAAAATCAATCAATTTTAACATTCTAATATTTTTTGCAATGCAATTTGTAGCTTTTATTACAATATAGTCATTTTTTTTGTTTTCTACTCGTCGAGGCCTTTTCAACGATATCCCATATGCTATAAAAGATACAATCTCCATTTTATTGAAGTGAAACTTCTTTAAGCTCGTTTACTACAATTTTATTAAAACCGTATATTTTGTGAACAAGCCACATAGTTAATTACAGTATTTGGATTCTATTCAAAAAGACCTTTTAAATGATACCCAACATGCTATAAAAATACTATTTAAAATTTTTGAAGTAAAACTTCTTTAGACTTCTCAGCTACAAATTCGTAAAAAGCGTATATTTTGTGGACAAACCACGTAGTTTATTTCAATATTCGAATTCTATTCATAAAGACCTTTCATACGATACCCAACATGCGATAAAACATACAATCTAACATTTTTGAAGTAAAACTTCTTTAGACTCCTTTGCTAGAAATTCGTAAAAAGTGTATATTTTGTGGTCTCAAAGCGCATAAAAAAATTTTACACATCAATTATTAAAAATTATCAATGAATTTTAGCATTTTAATATTTTAAGAAATGGAATATTGTTATGCATATAACATTTTTTCACTGTATAATAATTTTTTTTGTAAAAACCGTCTTCTACTCGTCGAGACCTTTTAAACGATATCCCACATCCTATAAAACATACAATCAACAATTTTTGAAGTAAAACTTCTTTAATCTCGTTTACTACAAATTCGTAAAACGCGTATATTTTGTGGACAAACCACGTAGTTTATTACAATATTCGGATTCCATTCGAAAAGACCTTTCAGCATGCAAAAAAACAGTATTGAATTTTTTGAAGTAAAACTTTTTTAAGCTCGCTTAGTACAAATGTATTGAAAGATAATTATGTTGACGTAAATAGCATGGAATGACAAAAGAATAATGTATATTGTGCGAAAGAAACCAATAGTGACATATAGAAATAAATATTGTAGAAAGAGTGTAATTAGAGACAATAAACGAGTATATTAATTATTAATGTTATTTTTTTTTAGGTTCGTTGTAATAAGTGCCTTCACATCTTTACTAAACATCTGTCTCCTGTTATGTGTTAGTACGAGAGAAAAAGAAACCGAGAATATTCATTTTACTGGAGACGAGAAAATAAATGCTGCTATTATGCTATATTAACACAAAGGTGTTAATGTAGCATAAATCCCTAAATTAAGGGCACACTATTTGAATAATTTCAATAATAATAACTCGACAGCAGAAGAAATAGATTTATAAATAAGTCTGAGATATAAAATGTATATTAAATGTTTTATTGATTGAATATCTTGCTACTTTGTAATAACTACAATGTACTTGTTTGCATTCGACAAATTAAATAAAATTAATATTTAATCTAACAGACGAATACACCGTCCTAAGGCTATGTTATACTACTATACTATTATAATGAAAACAAACAAATGTTTTCTCCAAATCGAATATGGCGGTTCCACATCAATATAGCTGTATAATAAACTCAAATGAAACGTCGATGTTGTCTTAGCCATGTATTATTAACAACTATATTTTACATAATAATAAAGAATAAAATTAAAAGCTCAAAATTGCGGGTCAAAAGCCCCTTATCAGATTTTGATAGCGACATAATTAATTATATTTTATCCATATTCCCGCCCGATGCGCAAACATCCGTCATTAATATAAGTAATCAAATAATTGTCTATCAGAGTCTGTAAATGATCATTTATCGTGCTATATATAAATGAGATATATTATATATAAATATATATATTTATATATAATATATTTTTATATAAATAAGATAGCATATAAATATTTACTAATTGAATATAATTCCATATCAACATACTTTTTAAGATCAGTCTTTGACAATTGCTGAATAATCCTCGACATTTTTTTCTATTCCTTCACTTGCAAACCATTCATGAAACCTAAAAAAGAACAATACATAAGTTAATATAATTTATAAAATTTCTTACTGTAGTATTCCTTTTGACTGTATTTATTTTGCAAACTTTGTGCTAAAATTGTTGTGATTAAATGTTAAGATTAAAAATTGGCAATTTGCCAAACTTATAATTCATAATATAACATAAGTTTTATAATTATTATACAAGTCTTTAGCAAATATTATATTTATTTATAAATTAAGTGTACTATAATGTAATCGATATAAGTAACAGTAAGAATTCTTATTAGTGGCTCAAATTAAATATGTAATTTTAAATGTATTATTTGTTTACATGTTTGTATATTGCATTAGATTTAGATTTTATATTTAATAAGTATTTATAATAAAAGTACTTGAACTTGAAGTAGGATAACTATTCTTTGACATTATTTACATTTTGACATTTACACTTTGACATTATTTATTATTTTACATTTGACTTTTCGATATTTGGATTTGGACAGATACACAAGTACTTATCAACAGACTTTTATAATTAATTAAATTAACATGATATAGTGTAATGTTGTGTTATCGGTTAAAATATAAAAAAAAGCAAAAAAAGGCTTAAAAGTTTCAAGAATTTGACCCTTGAAGTGCAAAAGTAAATATTTGAAATTTTATACAAAGTGATATAATATAAATTAAACTACCCAACTTACATTTTTAACACTATGCCTACGCCTTTATAACATTGATTATATCAACAAACACACATTTATTATCACTTTATTTAATATATTAAATTAATGTTAAAAGTACAAGTTTCACAATGTGCAAACCTAACCTATAAATCACCTGTCAACATGAATGTCGTTATCTGTCAAATGTGCGACGTTAAAAATGAATCTTTAACGTAATTTCGAAACAAAACTAGTGGTGTATGGCATCCTGTCTTAAGGCAAATTGCTGGAACTTCCCGTACCGTAATGAAATATTCGAGAAATTTTAAACGTTAATAACAAATACTGTAAGGTTAATTATTTTTGCTCTAGTTTGTTATATCTGAGCAAATCAAATGTGAATCATAAATAAATCAATTTATCTCCACGAACATTAACAATCGTCATTTCATTTCGAATTCAATTTCAAAAAATTTGAAAGTTGTCTAATTTACACAAAATTGCAAAAGTGCTCCCGTATAGTCACATTCTAAACGCATTTGCAAACAATTCTGTGCGACATAGTCACTTGTACTGTGCTTAGCTTGGCGGCATTTTCACATTTTTCATTAGTTTTCACAAAATTGGAAAATGGCTCCAGTACATAAACAGTCTAAACGCACTCGGGTAAATATTTGTACCAGAGTGGCGCTTAGACTGTGCTTATCCTGGGTAATTTTTTGAATTTTTAATTCAAAATTACAAAAATATTTTTTGCAAAAAAAAAAATTAGAAACAATTTTTTTCCCTTATTTTGTTGAAATAAGCAGAAAGTTCTTTGAATCATTTAAATCGGATGCTTAGTTCTCTCAAAAACTGTCATTTTTTTAACATTTAGCACTGTACCTCCAAAACTGCTGGACCTACCTTTGCCAAAAACCACGGGGTTTTAGTTCGACGATTGGGCTGCAAAAATATTACAAATATGTAATATTATATTATTTATAAATATGTATCACCCCGCTCCCACTCCTTCACCACACTTGCTTTCTAACCTTGATCAGTGTTCATAATGCACCGCTGTCAATAACATTAAATATAAGAGGGTAATATGTGCTCCTTCAATTTCTTGTTTGTTAATATAATAGTATATTATTATTTTACGCAAATTTAGTGTTCAATCAATTTTACATCATAATTATTTTTTTCTGTTGTTTTTCCTGGTTTGGTATGTATAATTTTCTCCTTTTTTATATATTTATATTTATCATCAACTTTGTATTTATATTATATGTTTTTTAGATTACTGAATGATGACACACATCAAGTGTCGAAACGTTTAGTGGAATAAATAATTTTGTATTTAATCTTTTTTTTTAATTCGACAATTGGGCTGCAAAAATATTATATATATATATATATATATATATATATATATATATATATATAAAGTACCTAACTTAACATACTGTATTAAAAAAAAAATTCACTTACAATTAGACTCGATTGGGTACAAATAGAAAGCTGAATAGTTTTTAATATTTATTTATTATAATAAATTACAATAATTCATAATAATGTGTTGAAACAAAAGTTCGATTTTAAGTTAAACTTATATATTAAAATTTCTCATAAATAACAAGTATTATATATAATATATATATATATATAGATATATATATAATATTAAACGTATATATTAAACTTTGTCGTTAAAAGAATCGTTAATAAAAATTTTCAGCTGTTTTGAATATTATTTAAAATTAAATAATACTAAGCCAATTTAACTTCGTCATCCAAGGTAAATAACAAAAAAAAACAAAATCAAATTGTCGAAACAGAGTTGCCACAAATTGTCGTGTATTTAACATTATACATTTGTGTTAGCGTTACAATACAGTATAATATTAAATCATATGTCGTTAATAATAATAAATTTATGATAATGATGATACCTCAACCTCGAGACCTTTCTCTCCGTTAATATTTTTTTGTATTATTTTCATAGTATTTTTTTCTTCCTGCTCCTGCTGCTGTTTGTTTAGTTTTGTGTGTTTATTGTGTGGTTGTGTCCTGGACAAGATAGACCTGGGATCCGGGCACCGATGATGTTGTGACGAAAGTGCGGTGCTTGGCCCTGATCAAGGTCAAGTTGCTCTCGGCGGTGTCGGCGCGGTCTTCGGCGGCCTCCAATTCGCGCTGGAAACGGCGCACGCGGGTCACGCTCTGCTGGGAAACGCCCTCCTGGTAAAGGAAATAAAACAGAAATTGGTAAAAGTTGAGTTGAAAATACTAGGATAAGTTTCACCCTATTACTTGTTTTGTAAATAAAGAAATACTCGTTCCTACTTCTTACGAGGACGAAACACTTAAATTGGAATAAATAGATACTGGTGTGAGGCAAATAGTTGTTATTATATTAACGTGTAATTTTATTTCAGTTAGTCCAAGTCAAAGTATTAATCTGTGTGATTGTACGGTTTGAATGAAAAGTAAAACATCTAACAAACTAGTATATGTAAGCTCATGTTTTTTGAAGTAAAACTTTTTAGGCGCGACTAGGGTGTGTAAATTCGTACAAATGTAACGGAAGTGCGTAACGGCAGATAAGATAAGATAAGAGTGGAGTGCCAAAGATTCGTCATTCGCTCTCGATGATGTTTATTTATTTATTTATTTTACTAATTTATTTTAAATATATAGCCCACAGATTTCTTCCAAGGGGACTCATAAATACAATTATTTTACATAATGAATAACAATTAAAATATATACAAAATTACAATATAAAGTTATTAACATAAAATGCTTAACATAAAATTACATATAATGCCGAACGTAACAATATTATTTATAAACAGAATAAGATAAAATAACAAGATATTTGAAAAGAAAATAAAAAGGTTAACTTGTGCAGATGGAGATTATTTGATTAGGTGAAGTGTTGTGAATATCTATTTCATTATTAATTAAGTTAAAGTTAAAAATTAAGTTAAAAATTTAAGAGAAAATTAGATTTAGAAGTAGGATAATTGAAAAATAAATGTGAACCTTGGAACATTAAAGGATAGTTGGTTAAAAATAAGAGGACAGTCTATAGAATTATTGCAAAGTTTAAATAAGAACATCATTGTACAGACAAATCGACGTGAGGCAAGAGAAGGAATACCAAATTCTTTTACTAAAGTGTTGTGGTCAAAGCCACATTCAGGGTGAATTTTAAATGTTTTTTAATAAAGATATTTCAGAAATTTTCGCTGAACCTTCTCTATCGTGTTGTTGTTGATTTGATGAGGACACCAAATAATCGAATCATATTCTAATTTTGAACGTACATTAAAATAGTACATGCAAAGAAATGCATTGTTAGATTTGAACTGTTTACAATTTCTCAATATCAAACCTAAAGATTTATGTGCTCTATTACAAATATCAGTTATATGATCCGTGAAAACAAACCAGAATCAAATAAAACTCCTAAATCTGATATTTTATTACATCTATCAATGCTGGTGTTAGAAATTTTATCAGTTTATAATCAATTTGTTATAGACACATCAAGAGTGGAATGAGTCAAGTTGAGACTGTGAAAATAAGCAATCATCAATAGAATTTATTTTGATACATAGTTTGAGATCATCTGCGAATAAATGTGGACAGCTAATAATATCAGATATGTCAATAATAAAAATAATAAATAGCAGTGGGCCAAGGATGGATCCCTGAGGAACACCTGAACTGATATTTTCAATATTGCTCAAAAATCCTTTAAGATAGACAAAAAGTTTACGATTATGAAGATAACTCTTAAAAAAATAAATAAGTGAAGAATTAAGACCAATCTTAGATAATTTAGTAAGAAAAATGTTATGATCAATTTTGTCAATAGCTTTACTGAAGTCAGTGTAAATAACATCAACCTGTCCATTAGTGTCAAGATTCTCAGCTATATATAAATTAGCGATCGGAAATCAAATGTTTTGTAATTTAAAACCACAGATGTGAATGGCCATTAAAAACTTTCAAGAAATTTCAAAATTTTTCAAAAAAAAAGAATTTTTTTCAATCAATATTTTCAAAACAAATTCAAATTTCTCCAAAAAACCTAAATTTTCTTTCTCGAGCTTCTAAAATTTTTGATGCACTACTAATTTTTAATAAACTTGCCTGTTCCTGCAATTGCCTCTTGTAGATGTTCAATTTCTGTGTGGTCTTGTCCAAGGAGTCTTGCAACAAGGCAATGTTCTTTTGGTCTTCCTCGCATTGGATCATCACCTAAACAAAAACGAAATATAGTAACTAACTTGCCAACTTGCAAAATATATTGGTAATATATCTGACCTCCTTAACGGTGCGTTCCTTCTTTCTCAGGATCTTGATGGTCTCGGCATGCCTCCTCTTCTCTTCGTCCAATTCCAATTCCAAATCGCGCATACGGGCTTCCAATTTGCTGATGGCACGTCTGCTTCCAGCCAAAGCATTCACTTCTACTTCTTCCAAACGGACAGTCAAATTCTACAAATAAAACGAAAAACTTACTTTTGACACTTTAAGAGCAATTCGGTCTACAGATCATGTTATTGTAGGGCGCAGACTCGGTGGTATTATGTAAACTTGTTCGAACAAACATACTTCATCTTTCGCTTTTTTGACCCAACGGCTAAACCGATTTGGCCAGTCTTAGTCTTGGAAAATTCATACTAATCAGTAGGTTGTCGAAAAGGTGAGATATTATTTCAAAATCGCGTACAAACTTTATATTTTTAATTTGAACATTTTTGTAGAAGCGTAATTTGAATAAAACAATGGACGGTGGCTAATACGTCAAATGTCAAACGTTTTTGACAGATGATATTCAATTACGTTTACTAGAATGTTTTACGTGAATATTATTTAATTATTATTAAATTGTAGTAAGTAGTTTTGTTTGTAGTTTTATTTATATACAAAAACGTCTTGACGTAAACAAATTGACGGCTTAAAATATATTTTAAAAATATAAAGCGTTGTAATACAGTTATGAAATTAAAGTATGTCATTTCTTAATATGTGTACTGAATTATAAAAATATAAAATCAAATATGTTTCTAACAAAAGAAACTAAAAAATTGAAATGCACACGTGCATACTCTTTAAAAATATACAATATTATACTAGAGCTATAAAATTTTAGTATGTTATTACCTGACATATGTACTCAATTATAATAATATAAAATCACATATGTTTCTAACAAAAAAAGCTATAAAAAACGCAATCTTGTAAACAAATGCACTCTTGCATATCTAGTTTCCAATAGTTGCAAGTCCACGGTTTGATGAGTATTTTGAAAAATATTTAAAAATATAAAACGTTATACTGGAGTTCCAAAATTTTAGTATGTTATTTCTTAATATATGTACTAAATTATAAAAATATAAAATCACATATGTTTCTTACAAAAACTGCTATAAATTTGCAATTCAGTAAAATCATGTAATAGAGCCGCAAGTGTTACTACAAACTCAACAATATCAACTTTTTTGAAATGTTAATATGAAAATGCACTTTTTGGCATATTTTTCTTAAACACGGTGCTCTGAAAGATCTCATTTGTATAATTATATACTCATTGGTATTTATAAAACATTTTCTCGGTTATATTATTTTTTATTTATGTTATTCAAATTCAGAACCTAAATTTGAAAGTAGAGGGAAAAAGATGTATAACCAGCTATAACCTTGATTCTCATGACTTTGCTATCAGGCGATAAACGGTAAACTTTCAAAATCCATAATAAAGGTATTTTCTTCCGTTGGTAGTTGGTAGTAGGCATTAGTTAAAATTGTAATTATTTCGTAAAATATCTTTAAAATTAAAATAAGACATTAAACCTATTTTTTTTTTTTTGAAAGACATCAAAAAAGCACATTTCTACAATGATGCAGTAGCTGACTGTTTTACTGGACGTAGTCAGATAATTGTTCGTTTGAAATTTGTTATTTGTTGTGATATAATTGGTTTGGTTTTCACAATATAGTTTATATTTGCACGAAATCAAATTGGACTTTTAATTCATCGAATGACACTTGAAACTTCTCAAAGAGCAGGTCAAAGAAGAAATACTAGATTCATTTTCTATCACTTCTCGTAGAAATTTAAAAATTTTGTATAAGCTCTGTAGTATTATTTACAATTATACACAAAATCCAAAATCTAAAAAGAATCTGAAAAACTTGAAACGTAATCAATAAGTCGAAAAACCAAAAAAGATTTGGATAGATTGGATTATACCATGGTTTAATAATAAAATAGAAAGTGTATAAAACTTTCAGACAAAATATAAACAAACTAATGGGATTTATAGCATTCAAACGACACATCCTTATACACTTAAAGTATTAATTTTTTTGATTCTCTAGAAATTGTTTAGAATATACCTTACTCAGCAAAACAACGTTTGCCGGGTCAGCTAGTATATATGTATTTATATTTATTTAAATATTTATTTATATTTTCATTCATATTTATATTTATATTACTAACAAACCTTAACCTATAACGAACTATATATTACTAACAAACAAACTTCGTAATATAAATATAAATATGAATGAAAATATAAATAAATATTTAAATAAATATAAATATATATACTAGATGACCCGGCAAACGTTGTTTTGCTAAGTAAGGTATATTCTAAACAATTTCTAGAGAATCAAAAAAATTAGTACTTTAAGTGTATAAGGATGTGCTGTTTGACCTACTTATAAGTCTATTG